TGCCTTTGAATTATTGATATGGAAGCACAAACCCCCAAACTTTAAGTCATTCCCTATTTAGTTGGCTCGATTGCATTAATGGAGCCGCACTGTGGAAGAGGTTTCCTGTTGCTTATATGGCCAAACATCTGTTTCCTCCCATTTTTTGGTCGCAGCATATAGCAACGGAAATGCTGGTGGGGTGACGGCCAGGGGATTTCTTTCCTTTCCTCGGGGCTGCGGGGGAACTGTATGCTCCAGATATAACAATCTGGAACAGGGAATTTTCTCGTAAGGGTTACAGGATTGTTTGTTACCCGCTTTTCTCTCCCTTCTCATTTGCCTTCCTGGGGAGGAAGAAATCTGCAGATGCTGAAGCCAGCTTGGTTTGTGGCTTTGGGAAGACATAGTTCTCTGTGTTTCATCTTACCTGTCGCATCCTTCAGCCATAGAACAATGACCCAAATTGTTTTTTTTTTTTCTTCATTTGTCCCTCAATGCAAGGGAACAATGGAAGCACCCTTCCAGGGTTCATAATTACATTTAAGGATTTATTTAACAATCGTGTTTCAATTTGGGTATTTTATACTTTACTGATTTCATTATATAACTTCTGTATATTTCTATGAAGGTTTTAATTGCATACATTTTAAATGTTGTGTATCGCCTTGAATCCTAACATCAGGAATAGGCAGAAAATAAATACAACAATAACAACTTCCAGGTTCGCAGAAATAATGGATATCCTTAATGCATCCTCTGTTTCTGCTGAGCAATTTTCCATCCATATATATATATGGAGCGAGGGAGGGAGATGCCATATAAAAGCACCTGGAAGCATATCACAGAGAAATGTTTTGGTTTTAGCTTGCAAAATCCATCAATCTTAGCGAATGGTTGCATGTGCATAGGATGTGCGGAGAGCGGACAGGGTATGGATGTGTTACGCAGAAATGGCATTACGAGGCACATTTCTGTGCATTGCATAGAAAAACAGGGAGGGAACAGCCATGATACAGTCCATGCCTGGCATGCAGAAGGTCCCAGATTCAACATCTTCAGTCAGAGGAGCTCACGCAGTGACAGGTCGCATGATCTGCAAGAAATAGATCTGAGTTTCCGGCATCTCTTGGTGAAGGGCTCCTGTTTGAAACCCTGCAGAGCACTGCCAGCCAGTACAGACCAGTGCTGCTAAACCTTGGTCCTGCCTGCTCCCAGGTGCCCACGATCCCTTCTCCAGCCCCATTCTCTGCCCCTCCACTGCCAACCCTTTGCAGGTTTCTTGGCTTTTGTACATCTTTATATATATATATATATATATATATATATATATATATATATATAGTAAACTTCTATGCCGCCCCATTCACCGAAGCCTCGGCGAATATACTATTCCCAAAGCTGGAAATGCCCCTCCTAAAGTTTGCTTAACTGGCAGAAGAGCTTTAAGCTGAGGTCAGCTGAGTTCTTTTGTTTCTGACATGGGTGACACCCATCCCTGGAGCGTGGCATGGGGAGCTGCTCCACAACTGAAGCCTGGAAGAGGTTCGGCGTGTTCGCCACAGGCAATAGCTGGACCAGAGCGTCCTTCGAGATCACCCTGTGACCCCAAGAGCCACTGCGCAACGAAGTGGCCAGTACTGGCCCAAAGAGGCTTGCAGAAGCCAGCTCAGTGGGTTCCAGTACAGTAGCCTCCTGGGCTGAATGGGCTGGTGCAGACAAAACGGCAAAAGAGGACGCCGTCTCCCTGAATGCCGCAGCTCAAGGTCATCTAGTGAATTGGATTGCCAGGGGATTCAGGAGTGACAAAAGGAAGGATTTCTTCACAGGGAGAGTAATTCTTCTATAGAATTCACTGGCCACAAATATAGTGATTGCCTTGGATGACTTCAAAAGGGGATTAGACAGCTACATGGAGAGCATCCATGGATACCCGTCTCAATTGGCCAAGCTACCGAATTTTGCAATTAGTCAGCTTATTGGCCAAAACTCATCCTTTTTTTAATGCCCACCTTTGTAGTGGGCTTGGATTGTTGTCTCTAACTTGATAACAGATTATTCACTTCAAAGCACCAGCTCGCATCTCAACTACAGCATTTCTGCACATACACTGAGTAGGTCAGTTTAAAGCTTTTATTTTGGGAGGAAATGCAATGATGACACTAAGCCTTTATGGAAAGTCTGGCACTTGAACTCATTCCACAGGCCAGTCCTATTTGAAGAAACATCCATGTAGGTTAGGTGCATCTCTGTTTAATGAACTGTACTTGTATCTCTTCCATGTATGGATTATTGATGGTGAGTAAACATGGCAAAAAAGGACATGGAAAGAGCAAATCAAGATAAATTCATGTTAGAAGAATCCAAATCAAAACTCCTAGGAAGCTGACTACCACTTCACGCAAACACAGAATCTTGTATATACAAAAGGAGATCTTGCATTAAAGGAGAAATTTCATCCAAGATTACAGAGCTGTCCTTGAGGCAAAACACATGCACATGAGGTGAGCTCATCCATCACTCTAGTTCCGAGGGGCAGAGACGGCATGCCTCCGATTAGCAGGGAGTCATGAAGCTGCTTCCTTGAAAACAGAACTGCCAATATTATACTCCCTTTGCACAAATCTGGGTGTGACTGCATGTGCAATGCTGTGCACAGTTACGGTCATTTCTGAAAGAAGCTATTGTAGAGTTGGGAAAAGATGCAGAAAAGGGCAGCCCAAATGATTAAGGAACTGGGACAAGTCTCCTCTGAAGCAAGGCTGCAAGGTCTGGGACGAGCTGGATAATGGGGAGTACAAGGAGGCTTGATAGAAGTATGCAATCTTATTATGCATGGCATCATAATGAGGGGGATGCGGGTTTTCTCTCCCATAATGCTAGACTCTGGCGCTATCCCATGAAGCTGAATGGTGGCAGATTCAGGATGGATAAAAGGATGTTCTTCTCTACCCAGCTGCTGGTTCTAAAATGGCATTTACTCCCACAAGAGGCAGTGAGGATTTTAACACTCCCTTCTGGGTTGGTGGCAGGCGATCTCAGGTGCGGTGGCCTGGCATCTTCAGTTAAAAGGGTCTCAAGGAGCAAGGTCTGGGGAAGATGTTGGTAGCCAACCCGAAGTATTTGCTCTTCAGGTTTGTGGGCTGCACAGGTCCAAAGTAGGATAAAATGCCTTAAAATTTACCAACCTGGCTGCATTGACCACCCTCGTGCCTGCCTCCTCTGCTCTGGAATTTTCTTCTTGCTTTTATTCCTTCCAGATATTATTCCTCTCCCTCCCCAAAAGCCCTTCCGAATGCACAGGCACTTCTCCTCCACCAATTACAGCCAGTGCTCACCTGTGCTTTTCATTTTTGTTACTTTTTTTTTTTACCTCCAGCCATGAAACACCTTTACAACGTCAAAGGCTTAATAAAAGACAACCCCAACACACACACACACACACACCCCTTCTTGCTTAGAAGCTGCTGCAAGGTAAACTATTGTAGAAGGAAAAATGTTTCCTGCCAAGATTTGGAGTTATTCCAAGACCAAACCGGCTCGCTGTGAGTGATACATCCCTCCATTTCTAGGAGCACTTGGCAAATCAATCACAAGCTGGGTGTGTGTGTAAGAAATGGCAAGCATGGTGCTGGGAATCAGCACTCGGGAAGCTTCTTTGTGTAACAAGCAGCAACACACGGACTACTTGCCTGGGGACCAAGAGTGCCATCTTATGCTGTCTTAGGCTCCAGCCAAACATGGGCCGTCAGGAAAATCTTACTAGCTCCTGAACTTGAGTGGCAGGAGGGTATGTTTAGCTTTCCTTCCTGGGGATGGCAGGACACTCAGCTTGACTGCATTCCTACAAGGACTGACCTGATTCCCACCTCTCAGATAGCAAGACAATTATCATTTGGACTGTGCGATTTGCCGAATTTTGTGACGGTGTTCTCAGTTCAGAAATTACATACGGAAATGGGCACAGTGGGGAGCATTGTCTACCAAAAGGTATCTATCAAAGAAAACCGAGAATGAAAATCAATGCTTAGTTTGGCATAATTAATTTAAATTATTAAATGTGTGAAGCTGCCTTGGGCCGCAGACAGACAGATTCATCTCTTCCTATACTGTCCTTCCACGTGGCATCTAGGAGTTTGAGTGTCCAGCAAAAGGCTTTCAGATTCTTGTGTATTGCTCCCGAATGGAGAGGCAAAGGGGAACCCACCTTGTTAGCACAGACTGTTCCCTTATGGAATACTTGAGTGTGCAGAGCAACTCTAGGTGATGGGTGGAGAACTGGCACCAGGAAAGCAACTGTGGCTTGCCGCCTGCTTGAGGGCACTTGGTGCTCCCACGCGCTTCTGGGTGCCACCCAGGATCCGGCCCTGTTGAAACTTGTTTGCTTTGGTGGAAAGGAGGAGAACCCAGAGCTTGCTCTCATGGTTATGAAATAGGAACAACCTGCTTGAATGGATGCTCCCTTCTGGGTTCGCCTTTCTCTCCCCACCGCCCTCTTTAGCGGGTTTGAATTCTGTGAAAAGCCAAGTCATTTATAGATCAATGAAGAAGCAAAGGAAAAGAAAATCAAAGGCTGTGGCTTCAGTGCACTATCCTTGCGCTGTAGGACATACACAAATTATGGGAGACCTCTGGGAAATAAGCACCTGGGTAGAGCTGGCACTTTCAGTGGCACAACTGGTCAAATTAGGGAGAACATAAACCTGAACTCATACCTGCATTGATCTTGTTTTCAGCAAATTGTGACAATGGGTGGCCTGCACGTTTCTTATCTGTCTTCAAAATGGTGCATAATTCTAGATTCTAAGTCTGCTTTGTCTGATAATGTATCTGCCCCCTTTTTGATGCTCAAAATTGACAACTTGGCCCTCAGAACTGATATTCAGGCTCTGCCATTGTGGGTCAACCAAGACGTTTGTCACATGGGTTGGAACTGTGTGGTCTATCTATTTTTTTTTAGACTTGTATCCCGCCTTTTTCTTGCAAAGCACTCCGAGTGGCTTACATTATTCTCCTCGTGTTGCTCTCCATCTTATCCCCACAAGAACAACCCTGTGTGGTAGGTTTGGTGGAGAGTCTGACTGGCCCAAAGTCACCGGTTGGCTCCACGGCTCAGCGGGGGCTTGAACCCAGGTCACCTGAGTCCCAGTCCTGCGCTCCTAGCCACTGCACCACACTGGCTCTCACTCGCACCATACGAGTTGTGCGTGTGTGAGCTGGATTGGAGCCATGGGGTGTCAGATGGGGACTTCCATGGTTTGGCTACATTGCCATTTTTTCCTCACTCTTTTCCTTCCTCTGTTGCCCACCTCCTTTGCGCATTGCAGTATTAGCACATAGAATGTCAGGATGTTTTGTGTGTTGTGCTGTAGCTGTGGGCCAGTGCCACTATAGCAGAACAGCTCATAGTCCTGGGATCACACATCCTGACAACCCAGAGTTCACAACCCAATGAGAAACCACCGGTTCTCTTTCTGGGTTGTCCGTGGTTCACAAACAATGGTTTGTTAGCATGGCTGGGTTCACCTGTCATGACAACTCAGAATTCAACAGTCCATAAGTGTCTGTGAATCCAGCCAGTGTTTGAGTGCAGTGTGTCTTTGTATTGGATACACTGCAAATTATCTATAAATTACCCCTTGATGTCAGTGAAATTAGGATCCAGCTAGATATATCTTAAAATATTGAACCCCCCACTCTTTTTGAAACAGAAAAACTCATGGTATCCTTTTTTGTTTCTCCTGCATGCAGAAAAGCATCTGGTGGCCATGGCTCTGTGACGCCGGGAGCCTGGATCTGTCAGCTGGAAGAATGGAACTTGCAGACAACTGTCCGCACAGTTACTTGAGAGCAGTGCCAAATGGATATGGAAACCAAGTTTTTCAAGCAAATCTGAAAGAAAGGTGTACTGATGTTAATTATTCCCATTCTGGTGGGCTCAGTGGTGATGAAAAGGAAGATGCAGCCAAGCAGAAGAAGAAGGCCAGGGGAAGTCGGATCTGGAATTTTGTTAGCCGTAGGAAAGGATCTGCCATGAATACCAAAAGACCCCAGTCCATGATCCTTTTTAGTAATAATATGGAGATTCTGGAGCAAAATCGTAAGATGTCCTTCATGGAAAAGGTAAGGTCCTTTAAGAAGCTGAGGACATCTGGCGTGTCCAAGAATACATCCAAAGCCAAGGCGGTCATTATCGCTGTAGAAACACAGGAAGATCTTGGAGAGAAATCGCTCCATAGCATTAAGAAGCTCAGTGACAGTCAACGGCCTTACCGACACTCCTACGCTGGCTACATCGAGGATCTGGATTCTTCTTTTGAAGATGTTGAGTTGAACAGTTGTGTGCTAGATCTCAACACCAGTGAGAGTCAGTGGCACAGGACTGTTGCCATTGGAATAAACCATGACAACCTTGATCATGAGTGTCCCAGAACATCAACTGGGGGAAGCCTGGCTCCTGAATTTGAAAGTACTCAGGAATTTGATACTGTACAAGGGGACCCTTCAAGGAGGTGTCCCGTGGTTATTCATGAGAGTAAGAAAAGAACCTCAGAAGTCTGGAGTTACCTGAAAGGGATTTCATTGACCGGGAAGGATTGTTCAAAGCTGGCCGATGAAAGAGTGGAACCCAATGCTGAGGATGTAGAAAACCCAGTGGATAATCACCCTGCTTATTTTGATTGTAATGTGAAAGACAAGGAAAGCGTTGGCCGGCCAAAAAGGGTGAGCCATGCGGCTAAGGGCAGTCTCTTTGGTGGGGTTCTTAGATTCTTCAGCAGCGTGGCTGAGGCAGCTCAGAAATGGCGGGGAACTTCAAAAGCGTGTTCACAGGAGGAACAAAGACCGAACTTTCCATGCCGAAGGCAAGAGCTTCCTCATCATCGGCAGCCTTTAAGTACTGGTGATGACAATGTGTGTTTCTCTACCACACATTTGTCTCCAGATTCTAGGAACTTGGATGGTCCTAGCTCAAAACACTCCACCAGTAAAGAACTGTCCCAAGGGAGTACAAATGCTGAGATTTCCCATGAAGTCTTCAGACAGGATATCAGTTGCAAAGAAACATCTTTCCCACCCTCTGGCACAAATTTGACACCTTCCCCCCTCTCAGAACTTCCTAATGATTGTAGCTTTCCCAATGTTCATGGTCTCGCCATGGATTTGTCGCAGAGTCGGGATCCATTTTTTAATCTAGTAGACAATCAGGGCTTAAGTATTGCTGCAACGGACACTTTGGCATTATCTTCTTGGGGCCAGGGGAATAGTCAGAGCTCTGGTAATACACCAGCAGATCCGCAGAATTTGGATGTTAGTGACTTACGGCCTCCGGATCCCACCAAGATTAAGATGGATGTTACTGGGGTGGAAAGTGCTTCTTCTCCGAACTTTGAAGAGTGGTGTGATGGAGAATTGGATATGTGTAACACTGAGCAAGGTACCTTGGATCTAAGCACTTCTTCAGATGATATTATCATGGTACCACGTAGTGTAGCTGAAGCTCAAGATTTGGCCAGTAGTCCAGAAAATGCCAGGACTTTTAGTAGAACTACCACAGATAGGGAGCCCCTGGGCAGAAATTCCCGGGTCACCCCAGACCTTGAGCTGACATCAGGTTCAGGGACTGGATTGAATGATGACCGGATCCCAGAGGGAATGGCAGGAGTTATGGAGAACCTGGACCATATGCAAGCTGATGGTCAGGATCTAGCAAGAACTCCATCAGATGCCCATGATTTAGAAAGTTCTCCTGCAGAACCTCAGAACTTTAGGACTGCTCTGTCAGAGAGTCGGGGCTTGGGCAGCATTTTAGAAGATGATGTTCATGGGACCTGCACGTCAGCCACTCTAAGCTGCTCAAGACATGACCGAGCCCAAGCTCAAGAGTGTTCTTCCGTCAAAGTGAATGGAAATGCCTTGCCGTTGCGACCAAACCCTGTGTGGAAGCCCCGCAAGGCAGAACATTTCAAGTACAGAGGAATCAGTCACCCGATCCAGATGAGTCTCTGTACAATCGTATCCTTCGATGAATTCAACAGTGGAAAGGTAGGAACTTGCTTCTGTTTGGCCGTCCATCGACCAAGCCTCGTTGTGGCCTGTTTCTTCTTGCTCTGTAAGAACAGATCTCCTGATGGACTACTGTGTCCATTGTCCCTCACCAGTGGCCATGCTGTCTCAGGCGAATGGGAGGTGCAGTCCAGCAGTCCATGGAGAACCGCAAGTTGGCCACCCATTCTAAGCAGACCTGTCTATATTCTGGGCTGCGTGTGCAGAGCACACACCACGTTCTATTGTCCAAGGCCCCGGGCTTAGAAGTCACTGTGTGCATTTGCTTATTCTGCATAATGTTCTGCCTGCTTGTCATGAACAGTGAGGGACAACCGCCCTCCATACCTGCCCCCCTTTCCAGTCCTCTGCATGCCTTTTCCTAGAGAATTCTTTTTAAAAACAGCAGGTCCTTCCATGTTTATTTCTACCAAGAAAGCTTGGAGAAACATAGAAACAGGGTGAGTCAGAAGGGGTCTCCCCGGCCATCTAGTCTGACCCCCGGCTCCAGCCGGCTCCACTCATGTGATCCCCAGCATGTGCTTGCCTGATCTTTCCTTGAACACCCTCATGGATGGGGCCCCAACCACCTCCCTTGGAAGCCCCTGCCATATCCTAACAGCCTTCGGAAAGCTTGATTCCCTTCCCATCCCCACCTGCCAGTCTGGCTGCCACTATTTCAACGCAAAAGTGGTGAAGCAGAGACGGTGGCAGGAGGGTTCATCCGGTGGCAGGAGGGCTCTTATTCTGGAGAGCAGAGCTCAGCCTGGGCTCCACGCTTGTCCCAGCTTGACCAGCCAACCAACCAACCAACCAACGTACCACACCACCCCTTCCCCTAAATTATGGCGAGAGAAACGTAGGGCCAGACAAGAGGGTACAGCAGGCAAGCTGGGACCAGCTTGCTTTTAATTCAATCTGCAGAGGAGCTCTCCGGGGCATTTCACTCTTTTCCCACAACCAATTTATGCTCTTAACACCCCCTGCAGTCCCTGTTTTCTCCAGCGTCTCCTTAGCAGTTCCTTAAATGCATGCCTTTGCCCTCTTTGTCTGACAGTGCACAAAGGTGGTGCAGCTCTGAGTTAGCACTGAGCCCGGAAGAGCGTCTCACATACACAGTGGCACGACTTGCCGGCTGAAAACCTCTGCTGGAGGCAGCCGGACGGTGCGGCCCGCCCCCGCCCCCACCCTTCGTGGAAGCCTCCGATGACGGGTGCATGGCTGGGGGTGGTGGAACTGGCTTTGATGGTTTCCTAAGTGAGGGGCTTGAATGTCCGTAAAATGCACCCTTGCTTTCTTTCACTGTGGCTGGCTTTCTTCAGCTCACCAGCAGGCCTCGGTCCAATGACAGGGCTGAGTTCATGCAACACAAGCCTTAAAGGAAAAAAGGAACAGTGGAGGAGCTTTCATATGAAGAGCGGCCTGTCGACATCTACATTTTCTGGCATTAGGATCCTCTGGCTATTGTTTGGCCAGAAGAATATGAAGGCCACAATGCCCCAAAGAAACATTTATTTATTTATTCATTCGTTCACTTATTTACGTGCTGCCTTGAACTGCTAGAAGGGTCTCCCTAGGTGACTTACACAATAAAACAGTTAAAAGAATACGATCATAAGACATGAAAACAGCACCGTATAATAAAACCAATAAAGGTCCATCTGCACCCGCAAAGGGCTTGGACAGTAAAGAATTTCTTTAAAAGAATGAGACAAATGGATTTGGTTTGGTGGTGCTCTTGGCTGGAAAGAGCGCGGAAGAGTTGGAGACCAGTTCCCGGTGAGGGATGGCACATTGGGTGTGAGGCTGAAGGGCTGCATGGACCAAGGAGCTCTCTTGCCGTCTTTACACACGGTGCCTGTTCGAATTGTTGCTCCTGCAAGGGTGCGACAGCTGGGAAAACCTCTCAGGAAATGAACGGGTTGTGTCACCCTGTACAGTCACCAGCTGGACATTGTTGTTCGTTGGGTGCTCAGCCCATCAGTGGGCTGAAGAAGTTTGCGCAGCTCTTTCCATTGTTGCCTCCTTTTGAATGAAAAGCAGCCGTGAATGGGAAGGGTACAGTTGTGGAGGGGGGCGGGGGATGTTAGTTAATCCTTTCCTTTCCTGCCTTTTGTTCGCTAAAAATGACACTCGGTGCTTCTTTCGCTGCAAAAGAAAATACGCCAAGCTCCCCACCCCCACTGGGCATTCTGCTGCTCATGGTGGCCTTCCGTCGCTCCTGTTCGTTTATTTAGACAAGGAAGCAGCAGGGAAAAGACGTGGGGAACTCATCATGTCTGCTTCGCCCCTTTGCCCTTCTTGGATGTGTGTTTTCCTGCCCTTCAGAAGTAGCAGAAATTGCTGTTCTGCTTTGAGAGACCTTGCCTGCTGGGGTGGGATTTTGGGTTTTCATTTCCCCCGGGTTTTCAGTTTGAGTTAAAATGTGAGAATCTCCTTTCCTAAGTTTGCCTGGATCCATGCATGCATCTTTGTGCATAGTTCTCTAATGTGTGGCTTTTGCAAACCGTTTTTGCTTACTATATGCAATTGCAAGCATTTTTCTTAAGACAGTGCACTTTTAACCATCCTTTTCACTATCATGCAAGATTTGTATGCACTTTCAATTGGAGAACACTCCAAAGTTTGGAGAATTGCAAATTGCAAAAGGGACCTTCAACGGCATGAATTTCTACCTACCCCTAGTAGGAACGGTTACTTACTGTTAGGGAGGCAACCTCTGGTATGGCTGCCTGTAACTCTCTGAACTCACCCTCGAACTCACTAATTTCAGCCATCTAAGGGTGCAATCCTATATGCGCTTAGATGGGGAAAAGCCTACAATTGTAGGCCATTCCCCCATCTAAACTTGCATAGGATAACCCCTTAAATACTGTACCTCTGCTTGCAGATGGGGCTGACGCACCGCTGGGATCCCAGGTACCCTGAAAGAGTCTCTCTCTTTCAGTCCCTGCCCACCCCCCGCGGGGGTCCAAGTTGCACTTGTGAATTTGAAGGCCTGACTAGTGCAGAAGAAACTGCTCTGGATAGAGAGCAGAGAGCGAGTGAGCTCTGAATTCGAAGTCTTGGCTTCACAGCACCTTTCCAAGGTTGGAATTTAGGCACAGAATGTGCCTAATGCCATCTAGACGGTCCTAGAATTGCACCTTAACACGCTGCTGTGTACTTATCTGTAATAGTAATTTTCTGGTCCGCAAGTTTCAGTAGACATGGCTTTTTGACTATAGTCTTTCACTGCCCTCTACAGGCTTCTGAGAGAAAGGGAGCTTCACATTTTTATTGTGAGAGCTATTAGAAGCTTGGTTTGAAAAGGAATTTGCAAATCGATGTACATCCACTGGGGTGCTCATTTCATACTGAGCGTATATGTTAAGAGGCACACTGCTTTTTCCTTTCTTTCTTTTTGGTGCTGCTGCAACGGGGACCAGCTAAGAGACTTTATTTAGTGCCTCCAGTGTTTTGTTATTGTGTTTTTATACCACCCAATAGCCAAAGCTCTCTGCAGAGTTCAGAGCGATTTCTGGGCAGCTTGTAACAGTGAGTCAGTCAGATGGGCACTGCAATTCTGCTCAGAGGCGACTGGGTATGTGCCGACTAAGATGTATTGAAAAGGATTGCAGTTCTGAGGCTGGGATGGTCTCTTTTGCCATGCCCTGAAGGTTTTCAGAACGTAGCTTTAGGAAATCACGCTGCCCTGCATGTTGCACAAACAGGCATTCACCCCATATCAGAGAGAAATTTGCACATTTTCTGTGCTTCTATAAATTTTGATTGTTTGAAATAAAAAAGCATTGGAGAAGAATGAAATAACACTCCAGCACAGGCAGGTTTACTACATATTACGGGCTGGAAGGACTTGACACAACCTGACCCAGCTGAGTGGCATCCTCAGGATTTTATAGCATGTATTTATTTAAAGCCTTTCTAGACTGTCCCTTACTGAGGTCTCAGGATGGTTTAACAATTTGTTGTCAGTCGTGCCCGACCCATCGCAACACCATGGACAACACTCCTGCAGGCCTTCCTGTCTTCCACCATCCCCTGGAGTCCACTTAAGCTCACACCAACTGCCTCAGTGACTCCAGCCACCTCATCCTCTGCGTCCCCTCCTTCTTTTGCTATCAGTTGGGCCCAGCATCAGGCTCTTCTCCAGGGAGTCCTTCCTTCTCATTAGGGGCCAAAGTATCTGAGCTTCATCTTCAGGATCTGGCCTTCTAGAGAGCAGTCAGGGTTGATCTCCTCTAGGACTGACCTGACCGGTTTGATCACCTTGCTGTCCAAGGGACTCGCAGGAGTCTCCTCCAGCACCACAGTCCAAAGGCCTCAATTCTTTGGTGCTCAGCCTTCCTTATGGTCCAACTCTCACAGCCATACATTACAACTGGGAAAACCCCTTGACTATACACACTTTTGTTGTCAGGGTGATGTCTCAGCTTTTTAGTATGCTGTCTAGATTTGCCATAGCTTTCCTCCCCAGGAGCAAGCGTCTTTTAGTTTATTGGCTGCAATCCCCATCTGCAGTGATCTTGGAGCCCAGGAAAATAAAATCTGTCACTACCTCCATTTCTTCCCCATCTATTTGCCAGGAAGTGAGAGGACCAGATGCCATGATCTTAGTTTTCTTAATGTTGAGTTTCAAGCCAACGACAATGTGAAATAAAACACAGCATCCTAAAGAATTCCAACCAACTCCCCTCCGCAAAGGATATTTAGACTCATATAACATTTTTATGTTATGTTTATTTTATTTGTTGAAGACTTTTTTGTACTGTCCACCAGTGAGGTCTCGGGACAGTTTGACAGCAAAGCAGAACCGAACAAAATATTTTCTGTTATATACAGTAGCTGAACACTTCTTGCCCGTGTGCACAAGGGAGAAACTGGGCCAGTCTGATGGGGAGGATGGCTGTACTGTTTCTGTAGGATGACTGATAAGAAATTAAGCAAGCCAAACATTTGCATCAACAACTTCCAGCAGAGCTTTCCTCTTACGCAGGGGTTCTGCTTGCTCGGAAATCAGAGAAAGGTAGCAATGCCTTTGAGCCGGGGAGCAGTCCTGGCTGGCACTTTGCATTCCTTGCGCATCTCTCTGCCCACCTCCAATGCATATGAATAAGGTAATTTCCTGTTTGCTCCTGTTCATTGAGCTTTCTGCCAATTTCTGAATTTCCAAATTGCTTCCTGCGCCTAAAGTGCAGCACTGATGGGTGAGACTGAAAACGTACGCTCTGGATTGATTGGTTGGTGGACTGACTTAACAACCAACCACACCTTCAACTTAATTAAACAGCTTATTCTAAGATCAGTTGGTCAAGAGAGAAATTCCACTGCTTAAAGAGCACCTGCAGAACGTGGAAGCTACAGGAATAACGGATTGGGGTGCTTTCTGGCCATGTTTGGCTTGTTGAGCTGATCCATCGGACCCTTTCATGATTTGGACGGGTCTTGGTGCCCTCCAGATGAAACTCCCACCATCCCCAGCCCTCAGGGCCATTGGGGAGTGTGTGAGTTGTAGTCCAATGGATCTGGAGGATGCCAGGTTGGACCCACCTGTATTCTTCCACGGACAGCCAGCAGCCAGGGCCTTTGCTTGTCCTTGAGCAGACCCAGGCAAGAGGGGGCAGAGGAGGGGCTGCCACAGGAGGCTGTTGGCTTATGCTGGATTGTGTTCATGCCGGGGGGTGAGAGCAGGGGCCCCGGGTTGCGGTCACTGCCCGACAGCGCCTGCAGCTCAAGCGCCCCTGTGGTGCCCAGAGCCAGATGGCCACTGTGTGGTGCAGGACCGACCGCTCTGACGGAGTGGCCACGCCTAATGGGCACCCGCTGGGGGACCTGGGGGAAGAGCTTTAAAAGGGCAAGCAGGCGAGCAGCGCAGGCTTTCTTGCAGGCTGCCCAGTGCCTTCCACCCTTTGCTCCAGCAAGACACGTCTTCCTTGCTGTCCCTTCTGCTGCTTCTGAGGCCTGCCTGCTTTGCTCAGCCTCGGGTAACTTTTCCTTGGCTGATTTTTCACCCTTTGGCTTGCTCCTGACCAGGCCCTGATGCCGTTCAGATATGCCCTCCTTGGTTCATGGCTGAGCAGGTGCTTCTGATCCAGTGGCCTGCCTCTGGAGAGTAGTGGGCTTGAGCCTGGTGCCCTTGCCAGCACCCCGTTGCCCAGGCCTGGGGGGCATGCCACTCAGGGGTGGGGGCTTCAGCAGCCACTCCCCTTAGCCTGAGCCTACTTGGAGGGCGGTGGGGGAGGAAGCTTCTCCGGGGACTTCTTCCCTCCTCCTTCCCTTCTTCTTCTTCCCTATATGCCCTCCTGCCCCTTGAGAGCTGAGGCGGAAGTCCTCTCTGGAAGTCCTTCTTGAAAGATTAGGAGGGGGACTACCTAGAGGAGGGCCTTCTTTGTGGTGGCACCCCGACTGTGGAATGCGCTCCCCAGGGAGGTCCGCCTGGCGCCAACACTCTTTTCTTTCCAGCACCAGGCAATCCCTTTTTATTCTCCCATTATTTTAATGCTTCATTGGTTTAAATTGTGATTTTATGGTGAATTGCTGGGTGCTGTGCCATTTTTATCTGTGCTTGTTGTAAACCGTCCCCAGATGTTAGTAGTGGGACAGTCTATAAAAGCTTTAAATGAATCAGCAAGCAAGCCAAGTGGTCCAAGGCTTTCTCAGCCGATAGAAAGGGCCTCCCCCGCCCCTCCAGAGCCCCCCCAGTGCTTGTGCCTTGGTCATCCAGCAGCTTTCAGAGCGGCTATCCTGGGACGGCTCCTGGTTTCTGTGGCAGGGGCCAGCCCCTCGTTTTGGGAGAACGCTTCAGCTCAGCAGGCAGCCCGTTCAGGCAGCCCGCATCCTCGTCCTGTGCCGCAAGCTTCTTGGTCTCAGAGCTGCAGAAGAGGTTCTGCTTCAGGCATCTTCAGCCCGAGGGAAGTGGGAGGCAGCAGCTGCATCGGGCAGCTGTTGCCAGGCCTGCTGAAGCTGAGGGCTGGAAGGAGAATGGTACCTCGGAGGCCACCCAGCAGATGAAGGAAGCCCATTGGGCAGGGGTGAATGGGGCGGCGGGGGGGAGTCCAGGAAAGAGTCACTGGCCGTGCCTTCAGTCACCTAATGCTTTACGTTAAAGGCTTCTGTCCTTCGTTATGTTTCTGTCACGTGTCATCAGGTCTTCTCCCACTTACGGTGCTCCTGTGAATGACCCCCCTCCAGGGCGCCCTGTCCTTGGCAGCCCTCTCAACTCCCGCGATGCAAGGCTGTGACTTCCTGGATGGAAGAGAGCCATCTCCTAGTGGGTTGCCCTCTTCTTCAACTTTCAGCTTTCCCAAGCACGATTGTCTTACTAATTCTCATTTTCTCATGATGTAGTCAAAATATGACCACTTCAATTTTGTCATTATGCTCCCAAGGGTAGTTCAGGCTTAATTTGATCCAGGGCCCACTAATTCCTCTTTCTGCCATTCTAAGGTCTTCTGATTAATGGCCCACCTATTGCATTTTAAGTGTGTACATAAGATAGTTTAATTTAATTTGTGAATGGCACAAGGACTAACCAGGTCCTTGGCTTTGTGTGGCTGGAATGCTTGTTTGAATATCAAACTGGTTCCAGTTTCACACTGAATACATAATAAGTGACAGTGTGAGGACCGCCTTTGTATAATGCATGAAAAGGTGTGACTGGCCATTGTATTTGCAATTCCACATTTCCCTCTGAAAAGAAATCCATGTTCCAACAACAAGCAGAACACACAATAGGATGAAATAAAACACTAAAAGTCAACAGCATGGGGGCCGGGCCACCAATAGCAACACTGCAGTAAACCTCTAAATGAACTTGATGTTTACCTTCAGTAACTTCTGAATGAGTGCAATAATTTCCCCCATTTTCTGTTTCTCTCCTTTCTGTGTCCTCAGCCTCTGTCTCATCCTCTTCATCCATCGCCAGGATCCCCTCCCTACAAGCTCCTCTTGGACAGATGCCAGTCCTTACCGCTTTCCCAGAGCACCCCAATGGGGCTGGATCAACTGGGATGGAAGAGGAAAGTGTTACTGAGTGCTGCGGGTAAGTAACCTTTTACCTGGACCAATGCTAGGTGAAGCCCTCACAGTCCCTGCTCTCAGGCATGCCTTGAAGGACACGATGTGAAAGAAGTGAGGGATGGGCAGAGGGGGAAAGCACAAGCAAACTCAAGTACTCTCTTAATGGTGGAAGCTTTTTATAGTCACTGGCTGGAGTGGGAACAAGTTAGTCGTGGTTCAGAAAGAGTCCTCAGTGGGTTTCTTGTGAAATAGCCTGCTCAATTAACTTTTCTATAATACAGCCAGACCTTAGAAGGTGTGGTTTTTGGCCTCCTTGAGCCTTCCTGCTTTGGATGGTAATTAAAGCTAAATTTGTGGTGGAGGGATGGGGAGAGTGTATCTGGAAGTAAAACGTTGTTCAGCCTGCTGTCAAGGATCTGCCAACTGTGCGCCATGGTGGACAGACTTTGAAAACATCTGTGAGGGGGAGGCAGGACCAAATCCATCTGATGCTCATTCTCCCACAGCAGACCCTAACTTAGCTTTCTCCATTCTGGTACCCTTCAAACAGGGTGCCCTTAGGATTAAGGCTCCCAGCATTCCTGACTGTTGGCTGTGCTGGCTAATGGGTGTTGAAGTCCAAAACAGTGGGAAGGCATCATGCTTGGGAGCTACAGCAGAACTTTATGGGTCACCTGGTGAGGTTTATGAGTGGGGAGCCTGCGCAGTTGTAAATCTTCTGGAGCATTACATGTGAAGAGTGCCTCTGAATTAAATTCAGGGAGAAATCTGTGCTTTTGCTATCAGAAGTATAGGAAATGCGATGCTGCGCTCTGGCTCACACTTGTGTTTTAAATCTCCCCACCCTTTTTTCATTTGGCTGTATTTTCTGTGCTGCCTTCCTGCGCAAAGCCTCCCCGAAGTGTCCTGCCCATTTTTTCGGCTCTGGCTCTCAGGAATTGGCCGGGTGCAGTGTAGGATCAGCTTGGGACTGCTTAGAGCTGGGTTCAGGTCTCTTCCATGCAGCTCTTCACTCTGCGGAAGATGAAGTGAAGTGGGGGGGGGGGAAGAAGCATGCTGTTCCTCTGAGCTGTGTAGTGGTCATCTCATCCCCCCTCCTTCTTCCGAGCAGGCCAGGGGAAGGGCCTTCTGACTATTCTGTGAAAGTGACCAGCTAGACTGGCCTTGTAGTACAGAAGAAGAGAACTGCAGGAGCCAAGAATGACCACCAAAACTAAATGCCTCTTCTCCCTTCCCAATTGTGAGAGCAACTGACACTTTCAAGGTGACTTGATCCAGTTTCAGGGCCATTCTCCTGGAGCCTCTGATGCTTCTGGACTAGTCTGCTTTCTCAGCCTCATGCCTTATCCTCAGATTAATGTTGGCACTAAACTTTGCCACAGACCGGGAAGCTGTCTGATTCTCAGTCACTGCCTGGTTTATCTCTGGTTGGCCTGGGCCATTCAGCAGCGGATTCGGGCCCCTTCTCCTTATCTCTGTCAGAATCGCTATCCACACCCTTAGAAGGCTTTTTAATGAAAGAAATGGGCCCACTCCCTACATTTGCAGGAAAGGTGAGGTTGCGGTAATAAATTAATGTCCTTAATGGTTGTCAGGGAGCCAAGTGCTTGAACAGAGATTTCAGTGCAAGCTCTGCTTGTCCAGTCCGCTTCCCTCTCTTCCCCATCTCCAGATTCTCAGCCCCTGAGTTGCCGTAGGTCTACAGCGCTGCTTATTCTTCCTGGGTTAATTTGCGGGTTCTGATGTAACAAAGAGAACTGGGAAACCAAGGCTTGGTTATTGAGGAAGTCATGCGACATCCAGCCGCTCTCAGGAGATGCTGCTCTCTCTGGAAGGACAGGAAGCCCTGGAGGGCCGGGGGAGGGAGGGAGAAAAGCCAGCTTCCAGCCGACTCCAGGGCTTGCATGGTCAGCTGCTGTGGACACGCCGGTGGGAGGTGCATGTCTCTGTACTATCTGCCCCTAGTGGGTGTCGCGCTGCATGAGAGAGGTCTGAAAAGGGGCAGCCGATCTACACCGTCTCAATGGCAGCAGCGCTTCTCTGGGAACCATGGGAGGGCTGTCCCTTTGATGGATCAAGAGGAGGAGGAGAGAATAGGAAGACAACGCCAAGGAGGCAGCGTGATGCTTGATTTACAACGAACAGTGTGCTTTATTTTTGGAAACGTGAATTCCTCACCAGGGTAGCAGTGCTTCCAGATCCTCCTCATCCAAATCTTTCCCCTGATGCTGCAGTTGCAAATGATCTGGCCTGTTTGCAAAGCAGGGCTGAGGCATTAAAGATTCCCCTGCTGTTCTGTTTTGTTCATTTACTTCCAAATTTGGGGGGGAAAGTGCTGCGTGCCACAGTTTTTGGTTCTTTTGCTGCCGTCGTCTTTCCTCCCCCTCTCACTGCATCTGCAGGATAATGTGCAGAGTAAATGAAGTGAACTGAAGGTTGTAGGAGGCAGGAATTAATTTAGAAGTTCTTTAGGTAGATTGTGGGATTAAAGGAGAACGGGATGCAGGGCAGGGAAGGGCAGGCTCCGGGGTACAGGCTGGGGTGGAATGGGGGACCGTCGCTCTCCTTGTGCCTCGTTCTGCTCGCCTGCGCCCTCACCCTCACCCGGACCTGCTGTCCACCAGCCTCACGTTCCAGCACCGTAAGGCTGTGAGTGGGCCAGCGGATTATCTGAGTCCTGGTGATCCATAATCCACAGACTTCAGTGGCTGCTCCCTCTGCCAGCTGGTGGTGGCTGGACCTGCGGGGGGGGGCGGGGGGCTGGATCAGCACAGCCGGGACAGGCAGTGCAGTGCCTCTGCATCCCAGAAGTGGAAACCAGGTGGGCAGGCCTGTGGGGGCCTGGAAGCACAGGAGTGCTCAGGCTGGGGAGGGAGCCGGCAGTCCCTGAGCATGGCTGCAATCCATGAATGGCTTAACCAAGAGTACTTGGGCTTCATTCAAGGGAGCTCAGGTTGGGATGCCTCCCAAGCTGGCCAGTTCTGTGAACTGGATGCTCTCTCCAGATATTGGGGGAAATGCGACTAACCTTCACCTCTTTTCTAGCCAAGATGGGAGTAAAAGTGGAAGAGAGGCTGGAGAGCAAGGATGCCTTCAGTGCCGCACAGTGTAGAGAAGGGCACATAAGCTGTTGATTATTGTAATTCTGGAAGCTGAATTACATATTTATTTTCCTTTTGCTAATTCTCACCTCTGCAGCTGACAGTGACCTGGGTTCAAAAACACTGGAGGTGCGGCGTGATAGGAAGAATGGCAGGAATAGATGGAAACCTCTCAAGCCGGGAGCCGAGCAGCTGTTACTCAATAAAGTAAGTCTTTCTCTGATTATGCATTTCTAGCTGCCTTGACATTTATCCATTGCTCAGTTTGTGCTGTAAAAGAATAATCGAGGTCCAGAAGAGGTTCAGTAGAATTTATCAGTGTGCGCTTCCTTTGGCATCAGTTTTTAATATAGTAATTCGCAATTCGTCTGAATGATTTTGTGACAAGTTAAAAACCAGCATGATTATCTTCCTGCTTCTGGCAGGGAGAGAGTTAAAACTGCCTTCCTTTTGGGAGATAGAGAAACTGAGTGGTTTTCAAATTGTGTGCAGCTCTGATCCTACTTTTTCTGGTGCCGCCATGGCAATATTGTTAAAATAATCTATGTGTTGTTTACACAAGTCAGTCTTTTCCCTCTTGGGTGAATTCAGAACTTCTGTGAAGCCGGCAAGCTCTGCAGACTGTGTAGCTGGGTAGCGTCACCAAGCTTCTCCAACCTTGTGCTCTCTGTGTGGGACTACTGCTTCCATCATCCTTAGTCAGTGCGGTCAGAGAAGAGTGTCAGGTTGGAGAAGGCTGGGCAAAAGAGCAGACCAGTTAAAGGAAGGCTTTCCCAGAGCGTATTCGCTCCCATCTGCTGGGTCTCTGACGGTGGTGTTGTGAAGATGGAGGGTGGAGGGGGAAAGCCCCCAGACTTTTTGAGTGGCAGGAGAATGACGTCCCCTCGGGCCACCCCCTCAGGCTCCCGTGTTTCCTCTGAGCAGAGCTTCATTCCTCCCAGGCGCCTGGAGAAGCAGCGGTGGCAGTTGTGCATGTACTTCGGGTGGCTTGCTCCTCCGATTAAAAGCTGTGTTTTGTGGCCATTGACAGGGCTTGCATGGCATAGCAGGGCCAGGTGGGTTGCTTGGCAGTTCAGATCAGCTGGAAGTGGTCCTGTAGTTCATCGAATTAACCCCCTGCCTCCAGATCCAAATATCCTCTTGGATGATCCCTTCTAGCCCTGCTCACAGAGGGTAGGGGCAGAATATGAGTGCAGCAGTGGGACGGAATGATGCCCCGGAACAGTGCCCCGTCTTCTTGCAAAGCTTGGAAAGAACCTGCGTTCAGCAGCTCATGCGTCTAAGAGACCGGTGTGTGCATTGTGGTGGGAGCTGCCATTTTTCCTCTTGCAAGGAAACCAAGGCGACTTACATAGTCCCCGCTTTCCATTTGATCCTCACAACGTCTCTGTGAGGTAGGTTAGCGTGAGAGTCTGGGACTGAACCAAAGCCACCTAGGGAGCGTCATGGCTCTCTGGGAACTTGAACGCAGATCTTATTCCCAGTCCAGTGCTCTCACCGCTCTGCCGAATGGCTGCTCAGATCTCTTACCTGGTGCACTTGCACTGTTTCACGAATTAACCTAAGTGAATTGCCAGTGCAGCGTTGTTTGGAAAGCTGGTAAGAACAAAGGATGATTATGTGATGTGGAGATCAGAGAGGAGGTGCCTGTGATCTTTTTGTCTCTGAGGCCCAAGCCCTGACCTAACAGACACCTTCCTGGATCACCCAGCTTCTGCTCCCAAGCACCACCCTGCACCTCCGAGGGATCAGTCTCAAGTTCCAAACAGTGGAGCAGGAGCAGGCGGCTTCTCCCCATGGCAGTTCTCATAGCCCTGCCCGCTGGGAGAAGCCAAAACTGCAGCTGGCTGTCTTGACCCATCTCTCTTGGTTTGCGTATAAACGGGCCATGAAATTGTTACGCTTCTAGATCGAGAGAGGTATTGCTGCCACTCTGTATGACTCTGGCGTGCACGCAGCTGGAGTGTTGTGTTCAGTTCTGGGCCCCTCATTACGAGAGGGCTATAGCAAGGTTGGAAGCAGTGCGTGAAGGGCCGCAGGGATGGTGGCTGGGTTGCAGGGTACGCCATGTGAGGAGAGACTGAGGGAGCCGGGTCTGTTCAGCCTTGGGAGGAGACTCAGAGGGGACCCATTAGTGACTTACAGGTACGTGAGGGGGTGCCACGCAGAGGTGGGTCAGGACTCCCCCCCCCCCTGCAGTGAAGGGCAGGATGTGTTCCAAGGGAGCAAAGCTCAGGGGACCAAGATTTAGAGTGGACGCCAGGAAGTACTTAGAACCCCTAGGATATGGAATGGGCTTTCATGGGAGGTGGTTGAAGCCTCATTGGCGAGGGTATTCAAGGACAGGATGGACATGCACATGGTAGGCATGTCAGGAGTGGAGCCAGATGGAGCCGGGGGTCAGACTAGATGGCCCAGGAGGTCCCTTCTGACTCGCTCTGTTTCTAGAGAGATGTCCTCTATTTTGGCAATGCATAAGTGGCCACCTTACCCATGGGTCCTGCAAGTTGGGAGGGGAAGGCTGCAAGATTGGTTTGGCGGACTCGTTCTGTGTCCTTGTCAAGGCTGCTGCTTTTAATTGCTCCTTGCTTCTTCACTGATTGTTCCAGTTGAAATATAATCCATGGAGAGGAACCTCATTGATCAGAAGCAGAGAGAGGCAGCTTCCACATCACTCATTAAAATGGTTACCTGTATTTTGCTTCACTGATGGAAAGAATTAATAAAATATAGAAAAATCACATGCTACAGAGCACAGTCTCGAACTCAAGGTTAAGACGAAAACAGGGATCAACGTGACAATTCAGTCATCAAAGCACAGGAGAAGGACTGTGATCAGAGCGTGTTTTCCTGGATGCACTTGTCGGGGAACATGGGTGTCAGGGTACTCATCCCCTGGGTTTCCAGTGGGCAGCCGGTTGACCACAGTGTAATGCTGGACTAGGTAGACCATTGGCCTGATCCTGCAGGGTTTTCTTCAGGCTTGGAGGACCAAACCGCCTCTGGGGCTCAGGGTTCGCCCAGCCTTGGCTTGGACGGCGAACTCTTCAGCTCAGTGCGACAACCGGCAGGGTCACCGAGGCCTTCGGGATCCCCTGGTCCCTTTTAGCCAGGGATGCCTGGGGCCCAACCCTGGCACCTTCTGGGCGCGTATCCTGCTGAGAGCCCACTGAGCTACAGCGGCAGCCAGGGGAAAGCAAGGCCCCCTTGATCAGGCGTGGTGACCCCTGGGCTGTCTGTTCCTGCCAGAAATTTCCATTTGTCCATCGCTCACCAGGTCTGCCCCATGCCTATGTTTCTGTGCTGTCCAGCAACCCCATTCCTGGCTGACTGGGAATGCTGGGAGTTGTAGTCCAGCACGTCTGGAGGGCACCAACCTGGGGAAGGCAGCACTGCAAGAGAACAGAGTATAAAAGGGGAAGCAGGTTCAGCCATCTCAAAAGGCTGACGATGATGAGGGGGGGTGTGATGCTTGGATTGTTATGATGCATTCTTTGATTTTGGAAGCCTGGCTCCTGGCATGGAGCATGTCCAGAGGGCATGAGGCTGGTCTCCGCAAAGGGAACTTCGCCGTTGGTTGCCAAGAGAGGAAGTGACAGCAAACAACCGATCTTGAAGAATGAATAAGCCATATTTGGGATTCAGTTGACAGCGTTGCATGAGACCGTAACATTTCCATTTCTGGGAGCTGCCTCCATCAGATGCATAGTTCTGGCCAGCCAGGTTTAATAAATCAAACGCTCTCTAAATCCATTCGAATAAAAAACAAACCCCCTGACCATAAATTAACACGCTGCAGCGTCTGTTGCTCTTGGGACTGTGAAACGTGATTCTGGTGCAGATGTGCCTTCTCCTAGCATCTGTATTGACCATCTCAGATTACCCTGGCTGGAATCCACCAGTCTCAAGATAATATCAGTGTAGAATTTTCACATGATTTGTAAAATATTTATATTTCATATAAAATCTTTTATAATGGGTCCCATGCACCAGAAAGGTTCAGAACTTCCTCACAGGCATGGCTGGGAAAGAATGTAAGAGACTGAGATAGTGACCACGTTATTATTATTATTACATTTTTATACTGCCCATAGCCAAAGCTCTCTAGGCAGTTGACAGCAATAATCATAGAATCATACGCTCAAGTCACCCATCCCACTTCTGCCCAGGCCTGACCCTGCTTAGCTTCCAAGATTAGGCAGGGTCAGGCACTTCAGGCTACATGGAAGCTACATTTATGTTATGTTTTCCCACCCCTTCCAAAATGTTCCCTACCTCCCGAAACAGAACAATGAGGAAAAGGTACCCTGAAGCCTGAAAAGTCTGCTTCCAGGTGCTGATTCAAAGATCGTCTAAGCTTTGCTGATGGTTGTGTCGGGTTGAAGTTGCACTGCACAAATCGTCTCAGGTTCTTAAATTGAGTCTGCTGAAATCCCTGAGGGGTTAACAAGTGTGGATCTGCTGGTGGGAGCCTGTTGGGTTTCCTCCATTGCTAATAGCCCAAAATTACATCTGTAAATGAAAGCGGGATTGGTATTTATGTAGTTAAATTTGCAGCCCCTGGCTTGATAAGGGATATCGTGAATCTCTGTGGAATTAAGCAATACTGTAGCTGCTCAAACTCAGCTTTGGACTACTTTAAAATCCACCAAGCACCTGCAAGTAAATGTTATTTGGATTGAATTGCCAGAGACCAAAGGCTGGGTGAATGTACAGTGTAGGGATTTCTTGATCGCAACATGAGCTCAGCTTGGAGAAGGCAAGAGACCAGGGATGGATGACGGATGCTGTCCCTAGTTCATGTTCCCTCCCATTTCCACATGAATAGTCAACCGAAAATCAAATTTAAAAAATCCACACAGGTTGTTGTATTCTGATCTATGCTTTAAACCATTTTTCCGCTCAAGGTACCGTTTTTCTAAACTGTGGCTTTATTAGTGAGCACTGGAGAGAGCTGCAGTTGCATGACCAGTGGGATCTCCCCTTCTCTAAATATGTTTTCTTTCCAGATGTTCAGTGTTAAATGCATTTGGACAGATATTTGGCGCCAAGAACTATCCCAGAACTATTTTATTGTCATGAGTGTCACTGCTTGGATGAAGTAGTTCAGTTGTGCAGGGATTGCCTGCCAAATGGGTTTGGGAATGGAGCCCAGGAGAGAGTTCCCAAACGGGCATTTGGCTTTTGGACTTGAAAAAGTCCTGGCG